GTAGGGGAGAAAAGAGGTCCCAGTATAAGTTTGGGCACTCCAATATTTTGAAGTCAAGAGATGAGGAGACACCAGCAAGGGAGACTTGAGAAGACATAGTCGGGGAGGCAGAAAGAGAACCATAAAACAGTATAGTCCCAAAGGTCAAGAGATTAAAGTGTTTTAAGGAAGAGTTAATGCAACTGTGCAAAATGCTACTAAAAAGTCAAGTTGAGGACTGTGTATCTTACAGCAAATCTGATCATGTCATTCTTCCTCAAAAAACTCTATCAATGGCTTTCCAATACACTGTGATTAAGAATCTCTCCCCCAAGGCTCCATATACATGCCCTCACACACACATATAGGGCATCTATGAAATCCTACATGATCTTATTCGTGCCTCCACTCAGCCTCCATTGCACCACTGCTCCTCCTGTTCTCCAACGCTAGACTTCTTTCCAATTCTTAGATGAGCTCCAACTGTCCACAGCAGGGACTCTCAAACTTCAATAAGCATTCAAATCATCTGCATTTCTAACAAGTTCCCAAGTGATGTTGATTCACTCTTCAGGTTGCAATGTAAGTTATCATTTCCTCAAACCTCCAACATAATCAGGAAATCTTCCAAGTTTCCACAGCACCCTGCACATCTGCATATTAATTGTTACATTCCTGATAAGTAATTTACCACTGTTCTTTTCTGCTAATCTCTACATTCCCTGAGGGCAGGGATTATGTTAGCACATGCTTCCCTAGTGCCTAACTCTATGCCTGCCACACAGTAGGTACACAAAAAATATTTGCTGATCGATTTAAGTGATTATTCAGATCTGTTTTTCTTGACATGAAAAGATAATTACAACACAGTTTAAGAAATCAGGTTACAAAACATTAGGTACACAGCATTATCCCAGTTTTGTTCTATGCTATTTATTTGCATACAGAAAAGTCTGGAATCCGAACCATGAGAGACTATGGACTCTGAGAAACAAACTGAGGGTTCTAGAGGGGAGGAGGGTGGGGGGGATGGGTTTGCCTGGTGATGGGTATTAAAGAGGGCACGTACTGCATGGAGCACTGGGTGTTATTCGAAAACAATGAATCATGGAACACTACATCAAAAACTAATGATGTACTGTATGGGGACTAACATAACATAATAAAATTAAATTAAATTTTAAAAAGTCTGGAATCATATATTTAAGAATGTAAACAGTACTATCTCTGGATGGCAAGATTTTGAATAATTGAAGGGTTTTTTGCATTTTCTTGCATATTTGCTAAAGTACTGTTTTTATTATTATTTTGTAACAAAATAATAAATAAAATTAAACATTAAATTCTGACAATTAACTTTGGTTTTCCAACTGTTGCAGTTGCCACTGTTTTAATGTATAGAACTAATAGCCTGTCCACATTTTTTCAAAATGTGACTAAGATTTTCTCTTGTAATTTGAAGCCAAGTGGAGGGTTAGGTCTGGGATCTATAGCCTAAGCGCTGCTTACCACGAGGAAGCTGGCTAAAAGGTGAACCTGACTTGAGAAGGTCAGCCAATGTTTGTAGGACAGCATTTTTAGCCAGCTCTCTCTTTATTGATGGTGGATCAACAAAATACACAAGCAATTTTACATAGACAAGTCAGTGAAATAGAACGTAAGTCCATAAATAGACTCAGTAACACACAGGAATTTAAGGTATGAGAAGTTGGCATTTCAAATTAGTAAGGAAAGAGGATTTATTGAATAAATGATATGAAATTGACTAGTCATTTGGGAAAAAATAATGCTTATTCTATCAAATTAATTACAGATGGATCAAGGAAAGCTATGATATTACTAGAAGAAAATATGAGAAAATACATTTAAATTTAAGTATAGAAAAGCCCTTTCTAAGAATTATACCAAGACTAGGGCACACGGAAAATAATTGCTATAGTTTTTACTACATAAAAATTAAGACTTCTGGATAGCAAAAAATACCATAAACAAAACTAGAAAGCAAACAACAAATTAAAAGAAAATGTCTAATATCTATGACAAATAATTTAAATCTTTAATATAAAAAGATCATTTATAAATCAATAAAGAAGAAATGAATGATGACTCAACAGAATATGAATTGATAGTTCTCAAAAGGAGAAAAATAGCCAAAAGACAGCTAAAAATATGTTCACCTTCACTAGAAATGAATAAAAATATGATAATAAAAAGATATGTTTCTTCATCGGATTAGAAAAAAAATCAAGAAGATTGACAATTAGCTGTCTGATAAGGGTGAAAGGAAATGAACAGCATCATAAATTGTTGAAAGCAGTATAAGTCCGTATAATTTTTCTGGAGAGAAGTCTGGCAATATGCATCAAAAAGTTTAATAAATTTTTCCACATTTGGAGTCTTCTTACATTGCAGCTTGGTTAAGTTAGTGAATAATATGAAAATATTTAAATGTTTACACATAACCTTGGGTGAAAAATCAAGTCTATAGAATGCAATACATGGTTTAAACACATGCACATACAAGAGATGTTAGAAGACTATTCACCAAACTGTTAACTTAATCTAAGGGTTTAAACACCTTTATTGATTTACCTTATTTTAAAACCCCAAATCTAAAATTCCATGCTAATTCTAACTAAGCAACTATAAACTTCTCTTTAGAATATAGAAACTTTAAAAGCAAAATTATAATCAATATGAAACATTTTATAGTTGTCATCAAAATTGCTATCTAGCAAGATAAATGTAAGTTTGAACAATATATTGCTATTTTAAATAAACTTGTGTGTACCTATGCTCGTCCATTAAAATATCCCTGGTGTTTGCCACAAATAACAATTACTATATGCAGAATTAGGAAAGCATTAAAACTATATTACCACAAATATTGTTATGCTTTGTAGTTAACTGTTCATCTCACAGAAAAACCAAAAACCACCAAATGAAAGGGTATTCATTCTGTGTTTACAATTACCTTTCTTGAGAACACTTATTAGTGCAGAAAAAATCATACATTCCTCCAAACTTGTAGGCTCAGCAGACAGATATATTTTGAAAAGGTTAAGCTATGTTTAGAAAGGTAATCCTCAAGAGATGGATGCCAGAGAATTAAATATTCAGTACTTAAATTAACTTCTTATTTGGTACTTAGGAACAAATTGCCAAGAATTATCATCATCAAATAGAACATTTATTGACTCTGTTGGAAAAAGAACGATCTACTTGAAGAAAAAAAAAATTTAGAATTGGAAAGAAACCAGTATTTTTAACACTTTGCATGACTAATAGAAGCTATAACGCCTCAAAATGTTGCTTAGCTTACAGTGCTAATGGAAATTACTCAAAATAGTAGTTTCATGATTACTAGATTATGTTTATGTCTTTATTTTCCACTCTCAGCTTTAGCTTTTAAAAGATATTCCAAAGAATGTCATACAGAACTGTTACTTTCTACCAGAGAAGCAGGAAGTTTTGAAATTTCCAAAATTCTTCACATACAATTTGTTTCAAAAATTTCAAAACACTTACTTGCTAAATCAAAACTAAAAGACTTACATGTATAAGCTTATGAATAGCAAATAAACCCTTGAAAAATATCTTTGCCTAAATCGAAAATAAACATGAGAACGACCCTCTTATAGGAATTCAAATTGAATTTCATTGTGATTACTGAACTCAGGGAAACTGGATGATTTTAAATTATGGAAGAATGCAGTAAAGTGTTACAATTTTTACTAAAAGTCAAGTTTGAGGAAATGAGCTCGGAATATACCATGAAAAGAGTGGGTAAGTTACCAATAATTCTGTGATAGTTCATGTAATTAAAAGTGGTCTTTTAAAATATTCTCATATTTTAATGAAGTACTTAAAATACTTAAAATAGTTCTATTTATATTTAATGTTTTCAATATTCTCAAATGTGTCATAGATGATTTTTCAGGATTCCTATGAGCTCTTCTGAAAGGCAAGAGACTTATGAATATGCATTTTCAATGGGCAGGTGATATTACCCCCAAAGGAGTGAAAGTTGGTGCCTGGGGAGGGGGATGATGAAAACTTACTCTTTCTATGTATATGGCATATATATCCACACACATATATATGTATATGTATACATATCTATGTATACATATATATGTGTGTGTAAATAGATATAGTACTATAAAGAGATGCAACGTATATCCAGGATATTAAAATTTAACGGGGAAAGGCAATTAGGAGGAAAAGTCTAAAAGCCTTCCTTAAAGGGATGGTACTGAAGAAGAGTTTGAGAAAAACTATGTTAGACACATCTGGATTTTTATCATTATCCAAAGATGAGAACTTGAGCAAGCAACCTGATATTATGGAGTGTACGCTTCTTAAGGAATAAAATGGAAATTATGACTTCTTACAGTTGAAGATTTAAAAAGAAAAGATGCAAAGCACACAACACAATGCTAAATAAATGTTACCTCCATTCCCTTTTCTCCTCTTTTTTGAGGGTGCTATAAATTACATAATCTCCACAAAAGAATGTTCAGATGCCAAAGGAAAGTGAGACATGAAGAGAAATGGAAGAAACTCCAGAGGCAATGACTTTTGTACATGATCCCTGGACTCAAGTATGCCCAAAGGTGGTGTGAAATCTAAAAGACTGACTTTGAATCTCAAATCTGTGATTTTCTTAATTGTATAAGCCTAGCAACATGGCTTGATTTTTATGAGCCTCAATTTTCACATCTGTACTCCACAGAGTTGTTACAGAGAACAAATGAGCTAATGTATGGGACACCCGTTTGTAACTAGACACCACTAAACTAAAGTTACCTTATGATAGGCCACGGTTCATGTTGTTGATAGCAGGAAATGAAGACGGTGTCCTAGACTGTGTATGTACTGGGAAGGGATGAAAAAGGACAAAAACTGCTCCTCTCTAGTGTCTAAAAACAGACTGAGTCTTCAAAATCTAAACCTCAAGGGCAGAATTTCTTTGACAGTTTAAATCTAGTTTAAAAGAAAATTACCAGTGGAACTCTTACCTGTCTCTTCGTTCTTCATCTGTAAAGTGATTATCTAAGAAAGAGGTTCCCAGTATTGCAAGCAAAGTATTATGACCTTTCTTGTCAGCTGTATGGTACACTCGAGAAGCCAAGTGCAAGTTAACAGGCAGCTCCTGGGCTGGGACAGTGGTGCACAGATCATGAAGGCTAGGAGAGGGGTAGTCTTGCAGAATTCTGCAACAGAGAAAAGAAAGTGGGCTTCTTTGATCATTTTCGGTCTTTTCGGTATAAAATACATTGACATTGACAGTTTAATTTAGGCTCTAAAAGGGGTGTCTAAATGTATAAGATTTAAAACTATAATGCTGGTTTATAACAAATTTAATATCACCATTGACCAGATCTTCAAAGTTATACATCCAACTTTCTGCTGAAGATCTCAATCTATATGACTTACAGATACCTAAGAAACAACAGGTCTAAAAGCAAACTCATTGTCATCTCACCCCACATCTCTTCTCTCCTGATTTCGGTAACTCAGTTGGTGACATCATATCCAGCCATCATGCATTACGTCTTTGCTACTCTGCTCAAATGCTAATGTCCCTGAAGAAGTAGAACGATGTAGTGCATTATCCATTAACCAGCATCAATGGAACCCAGGTCTCTGAATTTATGCAGCATCTTCCTTCCCACTATGCTAGAACTTGCCTGTCTCCTGCCTTTCCAAAGTAGAAAAGAAGGCATGAAGAGCTTTCTTTTTTTTTTTTTTTTAAGATTTTATTTATTTATTGGACAGAGAGAGAGACAGCGAGAGAGGGAACACAAGCAGGGAGAGTGGGAGAGGAAGAAGCAGGCTTCCCGCTGAGCAGGGAGCCTGATGTGGGACTCGATCCCAGGACTCCGGGATCATGACCTGAGCTGAAGGCAGACGCTTACCAACTGAGCCACCCAGGTGCCCATGAAGAGCTTTCTTAATTACCATTGTCACTTGCCATCCAATCAACAAATACGTATCAAGCACCTATCATGTACCACTAATACTATTCTGCGCTAGATGATTTATACACATTCGAACTCCCACAATGAACTTATTATATGGGAGGTATTATTATCCTTATTTTAGAGCAGGCTTATTTTGGAGAGGTCATAAAATTAGTAACTACTAGGATCTAATACAATGCTGCTGACTATAAGCCAATATTTTTTCCTATTACTGACTGTTAATGGCCCCTGAGGTGGAAGTGGCCCCTATCCAGTATGACTCCATCCCTTGGGGCACCTGAGTGGCTCAGTCGGGTAAGCATCTGCCTTTGTTTGCCTTCAGCTCAGGTCATGATCCCAGCGTCCCGGGATCAAGCCCCGCATTGTGTTCCCTGCTCGGCGGGGAACCTGCTTCTCCCTCTCCCTCTGCCTCTGACTGCCAATACCCCTGCTTGTGTGCTTGCTGCTCTCTCTCTCTCAGTCATAATAAATAAATAAAATCTTTTTTAAAAATTTAAAAATAAATAAATAAAATTATACTCTTACATCAACCAAATGATGACCTTTTCATCAAATCAAATCAACTGAACTTTAGATCATGTTGTCTAGGACCTCCAAGACACAGCTGACAATATCGATGACCCTTCCTGAAATTGCTCTTCCTTTGTGAGCTTTTTTAAATCTGTGCTGTCCCAGCTCTCCATCTACCTCTCAAATTCATCATGATTTGATTTAGTCACTCGATTTTCTTTCTCCATCTTCCAAACAGGGGATGACTTCTGAGGTTGAACTCCCCTTTGTACATGGGCAAAGTAAGTTTCAGTGTTTCTATTTGCTCTTGTGCTGAGACCTCCCAAATTTCATCTCGGTGGCACTATCTCACCTAGATCCCTGGCCTGAAAGATACAAAATGCTGAGCCATCTTTGACTCCTCTTCCCTTCACTTGCACATCCTAAGAAAAACTGAGCCTCTCCAGTGCCCAGGGCTGCTACTTCTCCCTCCTCACTTCCAACACACTTCAGTCCAGGTCCTCATCACTTCAGCTTGCATTCACAAGGGTCTGAGAGTTGGATTGAGCACTGCACACTCTGTCTCTTCCTCTCTTCAATTCCTCCTGCAAAATTCTATCGCATTGGTCTTTAAATTCTCCTTTGCCCGGCACAACGCTTCTCTGTTGCTTGCTGCATTCATCTAACTTCCTCTCTCTAAGTTTCAAGGCTCTTAATATCTGGCTGTACTTCTAACACAGGGGTTAGGGTCAGACTGTCTCTGTTCAAATCCTGTTTAAAATTATCACTAGGTCATAAGCAAGTCAATTTATTTATACCTTGGCAAATTGGAAATAACAACATTAGCACATCCTGGATAAAGTTACTTTAAGAAAGAAAGGAGTTGAGAACAAACTGATGGTTGCCACAGGGGACGGGGTGGAGGGGTGGGCAAAGTAGGGGAAGGGGAGTGAGATATACAGACTTCCAATTATGGACTGAATAAGTCATGGGAATGAAAGGCACAGGAGAGGGAATATAGTCAGTAGTATTGTAATAGCGCTGTGTGGTGACAGATGGTAGCTACACTTGTGGTGAGCACAGCATAACATATAGAATTGTTGAATCACTAGGTTGTATACCTGAAACTAATGTAACATTGTATGTCACCTATACTTCAGTTCAAAGAAAAGAAAGAAAGGATTGAATGCATTTAAAATAGTGTCTCTCACATGGCAGATATTAGCTATTATTATTTGTCTCCAGGACAATTCATGGGGACAGCAATACCTGTCAGTTCCTTCAGTTATGGATCAAATGCTGCCTATCCTTTTGTCCATGTTTAAACATCCTTCAAACAATACCTCCAAGACAAACTTCTCTGCAAAATTTGCTGGGTTTTTTTTCTTTTTTACAAATATCTCTTTTCATACATCTCCTTCTTCTTGTGCCACCCCTTCTGACCCTTTATCTAATGGGTTAATGCTGATCTGTCCACCAACTGCTCCATGTATTCTAGATAGTAGCATAGTATAAAGAATTTAGACTTTAGAGTTGGCTGGGCCTGGATCAGAATCTCAGTTCTAATACTTGCAAGCTGTATCACTGGCTTCTCTGAAGGTCTTCTATAAGATGAAAATAAAAATCCCTAACTACTAAAAAAAATCCCTAACCATTGCCTTTGTAAAATTGATAATAACAAACAGTCCCTGGCCTGTGGAAGTCTCAAGAAATGCTTGTTTTATTTTTATTTCTGTTGCCATTAATTTGTATTGGGCAGCACCTAACCCATCACTACGCACAATATGGACATTATTGAATCACTGATATGAGTAGCATAGGGCTCAACAAGAACAGGACTAAAATCTGTACACGTTTGAGTAGGGTGGGGATTGGGAGGAGGTAAAACCAAAGCATTTGGAAATGCCTGAGACAAAGAAACCTAACTAAAGGAGTGAAAATGGGTGTCCAGAAAGCCAGGGATCCTAAGAAAGTCTTAGGACTGGGGAAAAAAAAAAGGGGGGGAGAGAAAAAGGTGAGCTCTGAAGTCAAGCTCATCTACATCATCACTGAGTCTAGAACAGTCCTGGCTAGTGGAATGTACTTGAGATTACATTACCAATTTTTTTTCCTTGAAAAAGCACCACAACCAATCTGAATTCCTATGCTCCCATCATACTCTAATAACAGATTTGCAAGTGAATCTCCCTAGGTCATTGAGCTAAATAACATTATATTTCCAAGAGATGGCTGAATTTCCAAGAAAACAATTTAATTTGGGAGCTAGTCACTGGTGAGAAAAGTGAGGTAAAAAAAAATTGTTTAAAGAAAAAGGAGCAGTGACTAAAAGATTTTCAGAAACATTTTTCCAAAATTCTCTTTCATTATACAAATTTCTTAACTCTCAGGTTTTCATTCCTCTGCATCTTATTCTTACTTCTCTTTAATGGAAATTTCTCATTTCAATTTTAATGAATTAACACAGTACTATATATATCAAAAAGATCTACAAATATTTTTGGCATGCTCGACAAAGGCTGTATGTTTTTATAGCACACTCTCCTTCAACAGGACTATTTGTCATTCTTTGAAACACTAAGACATAAAAAAGAAAAGACTCTGACTCTGTGTGTGGCCACACTACTTTGCTTAATGCACTAAATGCAAGGTTTTTTAGGAAAAAAAAAATCAAGAAGTTTCTGCTTCATTGATAATCTGACAGTAACTATTTATTGAAGGTAAAATACTTGTTGTCTGCTGTCACTATTTGTTTTAATACATAATCTTGCTAACTAAATGAGCTTAAAGCAATGCAGATAAGCAATGGCATGTACAGGGTCACTTAAATGCCAGTTTGACTCTTTCATAAACTTTGGAATTCTTTTCCCATGAGTCTATTCTCAGCTACTAAATTGTGAGTAATATCCATTTACAAAGTTTAGGCTGGCCATAAAAAGGTTGTCTTCCATGTCCAGCACACCTTTCAATGCCCTAAGCAACAACAAAAGCTAATAATTAAAGCTTCTTTAAGCCCCAATAAAGAGTCAAATGCAGAAGAATCTAGAATAAACCAACCCATAAAAACCTAGTGGTAAAATAAGGAGAAAACCAGTTTCAACAAGGTGATTGGCAAAAGATAAACCCCTAAATCTAAATTGCATTCACACATATTATTCAAAATTGTGGTTGTATCCCTGCATAAGAATCTCCATTAAAAATTGGGAGGAGGGGAAATAAAACATGAAATGACAGTAGAGAAAAATAAGGTCATCTAAATTACCAAACTAATTGGCCTATGAACATTTTGTGTTGGGTTGAATTTTATTTTATTTCATCATAACAAAATTAACCAATATAGTAAGCAGTTAATCCAAATTAGTCATTACTGTGACCAAAAATATCAGATCTAACATTTAATTTTCCTTAGTCTCACAAAGAGCTATTTTTAATTCTAGTTATATCATTGTTATATCATTAAACTAAGTACATTGGCCAAAAAGAGTAACAGAAAGAAGTGTGAAGTAGAGAACATATATCCCAACCATAATATCTCACACCAACTCATCCTGTGGGAAAGTTTAACTTAGACCTCATATATATGAATTTCTAAAATATTTAATTTTCCTTTAAAAATGCATTTTCAGGTATCAATGCTATTAAATAACTTCTCTTCAGGCAGTAAAATTTGTAAACTTAAGGAAGTTACTTGTTTTTAGGTAGTTTTTGATCCCACTGGGGTTTTGGACACCTTCCTTGTCTCTGTTGTGGAATTTCTAATTTACTTTTTTGTGTTCGCTTAACTTCTTTTCCTCTGATTTGCAAAAATTCTGATGATTTCACCTTTAAGAAAATATAAAGTAGGCTGTTAATGAAAGTTGTAACATGAGAATTAGATCTTTCTCTCATATTTAATGGTCTATCTTATATTTAAACTCCTGATTTCTATGTATATTTTATAACATAATATAAATCCTAAAGGTGAGTTGGTATTTTCCTCTAAATCCTTTTCTAAATTTTTACATATACACCTTCATAGCAATAAAAATATTAGTACCATATTTATCTATAATATTTTATTTATTGCCTGGGGCACCTGGGTAGCTCAGCAGTTAAAGCGTCTGCCTTTGGCTCAGATCATCATCTCCAGGTCCTGGGATCGAGCCCCAGAGCCCCATGTCTGGCTTCCTGCTCAGCAGGGAGTCTGCTTCTCCCTTTTCCTCTGCCCCTCCACCCCAGACTCTCTCTCTCTCTCTTTCAAAGAAATAAATAAAATCTTTTAAAAATGTATTTTATTTATTGCCTTAAAACTATTAAAGAAGAAATAAAGATTTTTCCCTCCATAGATCTACTCTTGTTTTTTTTCTAAGATTTTATTTTTTTAAGCAATCTCTACACCCATCGTGGGGCTCAAACATAAAACCCAAATATCAAGAGTCACATGCTCCACCAACTGAGCCAGCCAAGTTCCCTTTGGTTGGTATTTTTAATAGAATTTGCCCTTAGTCTTAAAAGTTTGGCATGACTGGTGGTTGCAAGCACAAGCCAAAATGAATTTTAATGTTTCATATAACTGTTTTGAGGAATGTTTACCAATTTGTACTTCTTAGAGTTGTACTGTTTTCTATTTCTACTGCTTGGGAAAAATCAAATGCATTTCTGTCTCTTAAATAATTGCCTTTTAATCATTATAGGTATTAGGAGTATTGTTTTCCTAGATTTCCTAGAAAATTTGCAGAATTCATGGTAATAGGTCATCAAAAGATTTTTTTCTTGGTGGGATGTTCTGTAATTTTTTTTTTTTTTTGAGACTAGATTTAAGGAGGAAAGCAGGGAAGCTTTCCTTGGGGAAAGCGGAGAGATATGGTTGAATAAATAGAAGGAGGCCAGATAAAGGGAGGTTCTCATAAATTAGGTAGAGGGTTTGGGCTCCCAGCAGCAGAAAGGAGAGAGCTATTGTGATTTCTTTGGTAAAGAAGTGATGATGAATAAGGAAAGTTCAGAGTACAGACCATTCTATCTCACCACCCAGTTAATGTTTGAATTTCCCCTACAGTTTCTCCACCAAGTGGTCATCCATCCTGGCTTGAACATGGTGGGGAACAGGGGACTTGGACACATCCAAAAGCAGTCATTTTCTCTCTGAAACTCTCCCCGTTGTTTTTTGTTATAGAGCCTCACAACTTTCATCCACCAGTCTCAGTTCAAACCATCATACAGGGACAGTCCAGCTCCTTCCATCTGACTGACAATCAAATATTTGAATACAGCTGACTCTCCTGGGCCTGCTTTTCCCCCAGATAAACATCACCAGTCCCTTCAATTCTACCTTATGTGACATGTTTCTGAGATACTGTGCTTTGTCATCTTGAATGCTCTCTTCCAAATGGTCTCCAATTTGTCAGTGTCGCTCCTAGGATTGGAAACCCAGATCTGAACATGACATGTGAGGTGTATGTGATCAGGTCAACCAGGAGAAAGATGATCCTCTTTTATGGTATTCGTCAATCAGTGCAAACTATGATTGCACTTGTCTTCCTCTCACAAAACTAAATCAAGGCCTAAAACTCTGAAGTCTTTCACATTTGCTCTGAGTCATGTCATCCCATATCTATGCCCTTAGCTTGTGGATCCAAGGGCAGAATCATACACACATTTATCCCAATTAAATTTTATCTGAGGTCTGACCAACCAAATCTTACCATCACATTTGGATGTTATCTACAAATACAATCAGTAAATCTTCCATATTCTCATCCAAATTATTGGGAAATATGCTGAAATGGACACAGTCTTATCACAGTCCACTAGGGACTTTCATGACTAGCTGTGCATCCTTTACATAACTAATTACAAATCCATCTAGCAGTTCAACTGATTGCAGTCTTGTCTACAAAACTGTCATTGGGAGGCTTGCATAAATGGATTGCTGAAATCCAAAGGCTAATAACAATAACTAACGTTTAATGAGCTTTCTTGTAGGCCAACCTCTTCGCCATGATAGCCTTGCATTGAACTCCAGGTCTGACAGTTTTCTGATGCTCAGTCTAGTAAGTCTAAAAAAGAAATAAGATTGGTCTTTTGTGGCTTATCCTTAGGAAACCCATCCTGGCTCCAAGTGATTACTGCTTCCTCTTATAAGCCATATATAAAGGGTTCTTCTAAAGTTCTTACAATTCTTTTAGTGATTCATTTAATCATTCCAGAGTTTTGTCCAAGATCAGTGCATACATTACAGAAACCATCGCCCTTATCCTTAAAAAAGTAAATCTCAGATTTGCAGTTGCCCATGCCCAGGCTTCTAGCTCCCCTCCCATTGTAGCATCTCCTCAAAGCTGCTGCAGGCAGGGGGGCAACAGGCTTCAACCTATCTATCTGAGCTGACAGGCTCAGATACCTAAGTTAACTCTTACAATCTTTTACCAATCTGGGGCCTCAAGTTTCTTTTATCACTTCTTTTTCCCTTCTTTCTAAATGAAAGATTATTGTCCTTGTCAGATTTAAGAGAAGCAAAGTACAAGTTTATCAGCTTCCTTTTCTCTTTGTCATATTTCTGTTTACTTAAAACCTCAACCTTTTTTCAAAATTAAATTAAGGCAACTCTGTCATCTGTTGTCATCACACTATTCATCCATAATGATGGGGTTATCCTTCCTTTTTTTCTCTCTTTGCTCTTAAACTAACATAAAAAAAAAACTTTTTTATTCTTAGCATGATTCACAGGTCTCAACCCATTCTGGATCTTAGGCTTTTGGATATAATTATTACAGCCACATGTCACTTTTATGTTTATCTATGGATGTGTATTTCTTCTTTCATCTTTGTATATTTTTAAAACTGTGAATGCAATAGATCACTCATAACTGTTTTTGTGAGAATCTGAGGGGATTAAGGGCATCCCGCATCTCTTAAACTTCCTTCCATTTAGAATCTCAAGACATGTGGTATCTATATTTTTACAGACTTTTTAACCTTTTCCCTCCTAATATGTTCAACAATCCTCTCACAGGCCCTTGTGTCAGACATTTCTTCACGGTCACCATTACCTCATTTCTCTTTTTCATTTAATTTATCTAAGTCATGTTGGTCATGACTGAGAAGAGAGTCCCAATAACCTTTATTATACTAATGAGCTTCTAAGAAAGAGCTGAGATGCCCTTCAACAGATGAATGGATAAAGAAGATGTGGTCCATATATACAATGGAATATTACTCAGCCATCAGAAATGGTCAAAAAAGACTAATCAAGGGTGCCTGCGTGGCTCAGTTGGTTAAGCGGCTGCTTTCAGCTCAGGTCTGATCCCAGGATCCTGGGATTGAGTCCAATATCGGGCTCCCTGCTCATCGGGGAGCCTGCTTCTCCCTCCAACTGCTGCTCCCCCTGCTTGTATTTTCTCTCTCTCTGTCAAATAAAGAAATAAAATCTTTAAAACAAAACAAAAAAAAGACTAATCAAATTCTCTGGTGTCTGCTGAATGAGACCTTCTGGCATATATCTGAGCAGTGGAAGTCCTGCACTACTCCTTTAACACACCCCTGTGCTAGTTCCATTTGCTATGTCAAAAGAGGTCTTCTTCATACAAATGGCTAACAGACACATAAAAAAATGTTCATCATCATTAGCCATCAGGGAAATTCAAATCAAAACCACATTGAGATACCATCTTACACCAGTTAGAATGGCAAAAATTGACAAGGCAAGAAACAACAAATGTTGGAGAGGATGTGGAGAAAGGGGAACCCTCTTACACTGTTGATGGGAATACAAGTTGGTAAAGCCACTTTGGAAAACAGTGTGGAGATGCCTCAAAAAATTAAAAATAGAGCTACCCCATGACCCAGCAATTGCACTCCTGGTTATTTACCCCAAAGACACAGATGTAGTGAAAAGAAGGGCCATATGCACCCC